CACCGAACGCAGACACGCGCTAAAAAAAAGGCGTTTATTAACCGAGCGTTTGACCCAATTGGCTCGCGTATGAAAACACCTGGGCGTTAGATTGAAATTTAATTGCTTCACTTAGTTAACCCACTTAAGGACCATGTTGAGTTTAGTCTGCTCAATTTGTTGGGATCAGCAGCTTTGTGCATCGGGGATGTTGTAGGCTCGGATTGTGGATAATTACTATTAATTAGCGGCTGATACTTTTGGCTTTGATGCCACAATAGAGCGAAACGGAGCGATGGCTGCGAAGGAACTTGTGGCGATATCGGCCGACGTGATGGGAAGGAAGCCGGTGTTTTCCTGAGAACCGGGGCTTTGTGTTGCCTTGTTTTCGTTTGTTGTTGCCGGTATCATCAGTGGGAAGGCGCAATATGTCGTCGGCACCCACGGTGTCAATCAGAATCCTATTACTGCAGAGGTCATAGACAAACTGCTCCAGGTAAGTTAAGTCTCAGCGTGCGGCTCTGCTCCACCAGAACAAAGGAAAATAATAAATGTGCGGCCAACAATATCTACTGTCTCCCACATTTCAAGGAGAACTTTAAACCCTTGTCAGATATAAGAATATGTTTGCTGCTTTCTCTCTGACAAAATGAAATCAAAACTTCAGTCAAGGTTTTTTCCTCCCTCCCTCTTTTTTTTTTTTTTCTGCCAGTGTAGCAATTTGAGCTCACAGCCTCATGGGTAATTTTATGAATACATATCAGGACCTTTAGCTCACAGGCGGTGGCTGGCACACTCAATAATGCCTTGAGCAATATCACTTTGAGAGCACCACACAAAAACAAAGACGCCTTAGCTCCATGAATATTTATTAATGGGAGATACCGGAGCGGAGTTAAAAATGACAGACCAATAGGTGGATGGAGGAGAGAGATATGAAGAGAATGATACAAAGACTGATAGAAAGCCAGCAGAAGACAACCTGCAGAGCTTTCAAAGCGACGCCGGGCCAATAGGAAATGGAGACATTGCATCGCATAGGGAACCCTGGAGGAAATTTGCTATTGAAATGCTGTTAAATACTAGTTTACTTTGCTCTCTCTCTGAAGATGCTGCTGTTGCTGCTGCAGCAGCGAGCGAGCCTCCCCTGGTATCCACGTCCAGGAGCCGGTGCTGATTGGAAGCACAACAGAGCTGGTGGGCATGAGACCCTGCGGGCCTCGCTGGCGGTCTCCATCATTATGCCGACGGCGCTATCATTTCTGGACGCTGATTAAAATGTTGCCGATGTTAAAAGAAGCTGAAGGTTAAACCACAAAGGGCTCCGTGTGAAGTCGTTTCACAAAACATCGCCTACCTCGCCGCACGCTCGTAGAGACGCTCCGAAAATCAAACTTTTACAACAGAAACTAGAGAAGTGGGGATGCGTCCGACTTGATTCTGATCTTTAGCCGCCGCACATGGACATTGACTTAACTGGAGCCTCTTTTTCTCAATCGATCTCACTGTTGACTGGATATTATCATGATTGTTGCAGAAGATTTGATCCAGCGTAACTAAAGGATGCTGCAGTCACGCTCCTTAAAGTGGACTCCTGGAGATGCTCCAGAAGGGCGGCTGCGAAGCGAAAGAGTTCCTGCACTCGTTTCTTTATTTTCTTAACATGTGCATCAGAGCCGTGATTGGACAGTAAAGAAATACAAACAACAACAACGAGGAACATTCAAACAAACATTATCTGGATGCAACCAGACATAAATCACTAACTGGACTTTCAGTGCAACCAGACGTGAACCGTCTATTCTGCATTCTTGGTTTCTTTTGTGTGACTGCTTTATTATTACGGTGGATCAGGGACAGATTTGTGAACTGGGAAGAGAGTGGCAGTCATGTGTGTAAGACTAAAACTATTTGCATTGTTCTGGCTGTGTTGGTCAGCAGTGGGTCGGATTGAATTTTATCAAAACCTTTCAGCTCCCTCTTCAAATCCATTCAGGGTCAGCTGTCACATTTGTAGCTAAAGTTTAAAAAATAAACTTAGATCAACTTAAAAGTTAGGAACATTTCTACAGGACGACCTGCAAATGAGAAAAGGTTGAGACGATAGACTGTGTGTTAA